TGTTACAAAGCGTATCTAACTCGCTTTTGCTCATTAGATACGTTTTGAAACAACTCGTAAGATGAATGGTATCTGATAGACAATCGTGTAGTAATCTCTATTTATACATTAACCGAAACTGTTGTTGTGCAGCTGCCATAAATATATACACAATACTCTTTGACCAAAAATACATTGAATGTGTCACATGTACACATGACCATGTGCTTTGCTATTTATAGCACAATCCTAAATAAGCTCCGCCCACTGTGATTGATGCAGATTCGATTTTTTATGATAATACTACAGAAAATTAATGAACTAATATCTAGATATGGAGCCATTTCTGGTATCCAAGGTTTGTCGTTCAAGCTGATACAAAGTTTTACGGGCAAATGGTGATCTTGTTTACATATGTTTTTCAAAAAACTTCTCCCAACACTCAGTTGTGTTTATATATTGTCAGTCACTGTTCGAATCTGAAACACTGCCACATTGTGGGCTATTTATAGTCAAGGTGAGGCTTTATGCATAGGATCCGCTGGTAAGAAGGCGCAATCTCATCAAAATCAGACCTTAGTTCTTGCTACCGCTAAACAAAGATCTGAGGACATCCCATTAGGGGTCACGTCAGAACGACCTTTCATCCGACCAATCAGAGCGTCGCTTACCAAATCGTGAAAATGACAATCAGAATACGTTTCCTAATCATGCAATCTCGTAAATATAATTACGGGGTATTCTAAATGACAGTTACGGGCGGTACGACTGATTCCGAATGCTAGACATGGAGGCAGCCATTGTTGACACGGGTTAGACAAATGCACTGGAAAGTTGTTTCATAAATTATTTTGCACGATTTCGTCGCTTGAAATATATGACAAGTCATAAGCCATGTCCGCTGAGACTCCAAAAACTAAGGTCTGATTTTAATTAAATTGGGGGAAGGCGCTACTAAGGCGCTACTGACGCGCTACTGATACCTCCAATGAATTTAAATGGTGGTCTACCAGTACCACAGTACAGAGGAATAGACAATACTTGTAGTCTACCAGTACCACAGTACAGAGGAATAGACAATATTTGTAGTATACCAGTACCACAGTACAGAGGAATAGACAATATTTGTAGGCTACCAGTACCACAGTACAGAGGAATAGACAATATTTGTAGTCTACCAGTACCACAGTAGAGAGGAATAGACAATATTTGTAGTCTACCACAGTACAGAGGAATAGACAATATTTGTAGTCTACCATAGTACAGAGGAATAGACAATACTTGTAGTATACCACAGTACAGAGGAATAGACAATATTTGTAGTATACCACAGTACAGAGGAATAGACAATACTTGTAGTCTACCAGTACCACAGTACAGAGGAATAGACAATATTTATAGTCTACCACAGTACAGAGGAATAGACAATACTTGTAGTCTACCAGTACCACAGTACAGAGGAATAGACAATACTTGTAGTATACCACAGTACAGAGGAATAGACAACATTTGTAGTCTACCAGTACCACAGTACAGAGGAATAGACAATACTTGTAGTCTACCACAGTACAGAGGAATAGACAATACTTGTAGTCTACCACTGTACAGAGGAATAGACAATACTTGTAGTCTACCACAGTACAGAGGAATAGACAATACTTGTAGTCTACCACAGTACAGAGGAATAGACAATACTTGTAGTCTACCAGTACCACAGTACAGAGGAATAGACAATATTTATAGTCTACCACAGTACAGAGGAATAGACAATACTTGTAGTCTACCAGTACCACAGTACAGAGGAATAGACAATACTTGTAGTATACCACAGTACAGAGGAATAGACAAAATTTGTAGTCTACCACAGTACAGAGGAATAGACAATACTTGTAGTCTACCAGTACCACAGTACAGAGGAATAGACCATATTTATAGTCTACCACAGTACAGAGGAATAGACAATACTTGTAGCCTACCAGTACCACAGTACAGAGGAATAGACAATACTTGTAGTATACCACAGTACAGAGGAATAGACAATATTTGTAGTCTACCAGTACCACAGTACAGAGGAATAGACAATACTTGTAGTATACCACAGCACAGAGGAATAGTCAATACTTGTAGTCTACCAGTACCACAGTACAGAGGAATAGACAACATTTGTAGTCTACCACAGTACAGAGGAATAGACAATACTTGTAGTCTACCACAGTACAGAGGAATAGACAATACTTGTAGTCTACCACTGTACAGAGGAATAGACAATACTTGTAGTCTACCACAGTACAGAGGAATAGACAATACTTGTAGTCTACCACAGTACAGAGGAATAGACAATACTTGTAGTCTACCAGTACCACAGTACAGAGGAATAGACAATATTTATAGTCTACCACAGTACAGAGGAATAGACAATACTTGTAGTCTACCAGTACCACAGTACAGAGGAATAGACAATACTTGTAGTATACCACAGTACAGAGGAATAGACCATATTTATAGTCTACCACAGTACAGAGGAATAGACAATACTTGTAGCCTACCAGTACCACAGTACAGAGGAATAGACAATACTTGTAGTATACCACAGTACAGAGGAATAGACAATATTTGTAGTCTACCAGTACCACAGTACAGAGGAATAGACAATACTTGTAGTATACCACAGCACAGAGGAATAGTCAATACTTGTAGTCTACCAGTACCACAGTACAGAGGAATAGACAACATTTGTAGTCTACCACAGTACAGAGGAATAGACAATAATTGTAGTCTACCAGTACCACAGTACAGAGGAATAGACAATATTTGTAGTCTACCAGTACCACAGTCCAGAGGAATAGACAATACTTGTAGTATACAACAGTACAGAGGAATAGACAATAATTGTAGTCTATCAGTACCACAGTACAGAGGAATAGACAATATTTGTAGTATACCAGTACCACAGTCCAGAGGAATAGACAATACTTGTAGTATACCACAGTACAGAGGAATAGACCATATTTATAGTCTACCACAGTACAGAGGAATAGACAATACTTGTAGCCTACCAGTACCACAGTACAGAGGAATAGACAATACTTGTAGTATACCACAGTACAGAGGAATAGACAATATTTGTAGTCTACCAGTACCACAGTACAGAGGAATAGACAATACTTGTAGTATACCACAGCACAGAGGAATAGTCAATACTTGTAGTCTACCAGTACCACAGTACAGAGGAATAGACAACATTTGTAGTCTACCAGTACCACAGTACAGAGGAATAGACAATAATTGTAGTCTACCAGTACCACAGTACAGAGGAATAGACAATATTTGTAGTCTACCAGTACCACAGTCCAGAGGAATAGACAATACTTGTAGTATACCACAGTACAGAGGAATAGACAATAATTGTAGTCTATCAGTACCACAGTACAGAGGAATAGACAATATTTGTAGTATACCAGTACCACAGTCCAGAGGAATAGACAATACTTGTAGTATACCACAGTACAGAGGAATAGACAATATTTGTAGTCTACCAGTACCACAGTCCAGAGGAATAGACAATATTTGTAGGCTACCAGTACCACAGTACAGAGGAATAGACAATATTTGTAGTCTACCAGTACCACAGTACAGAGGAATAGACAATACTTGTAGTCTACCACAGTACAGAAGAATAGACAATACTTGTAGTCTACCAGTACCACAGTACAGAGGAATAGACAATACTTGTAGTCTACCACAGTACAGAGGAATAGACAATATTTGTAGTCTACCACAGTACAGAGGAATAGACAATATTTGTAGTCTACCACAGTACAGAGGAATAGACAATATTTGTAGTCTACCACAGTACAGAGGAATAGACAATATTTGTAGTCTACCACAGTACAGAGGAATAGACAATATTTGTAGTCTACCAGTACAACAGTACAGAGGAATAGACAATATTTGTAGTCTACCAGTACCACAGTACAGAGGAATAGACAATATTTGTAGTCTACCACTGTATAGAGGAATATACAATACTTGTAGTCTACCACTGTATAGAGGAATAGACAATACTTGTAGTCTACCACAGTACAGAGGAATAGACAATATTTGTAGTCTACCACAGTACAGAGGAATAGACAATATTTGTAGTCTACCAGTACAACAGTACAGAGGAATAGACAATATTTGTAGTCTACCAGTACCACAGTATAGAGGAATAGACAATACTTGTAGTCTACCAGTACCACAGTACAGAGGAATAGACAATACTTGTAGTCTACCACAGTACAGAGGAATAGACAATATTTGTAGTCTACCACAGTACAGAGGAATAGACAATATTTGTAGTCTACCAGTACAACAGTACAGAGGAATATACAATATTTGTAGTCTACCAGTACCACAGTACAGAGGAATAGACAATATTTGTAGTCTACCACTGTATAGAGGAATAGACAATACTTGTAGTCTACCAGTACCACAGTACAGAGGAATAGACAATATTTGTAGTATAACAGTACCACAGTACAGAGGATTAGACAATATTTGTAGTATACCACAGAACAGAGGAATAGACAATATTTGTAGTCTACCAGTACCACAGTACAGAGGAATAGACAATATTTGTAGGAATTATGGCCTCATCATCATCATCGTATACAAATTGCATAGATCGATGCTCATGTCATGTCTAGTCCATATTCAATTATTTACAGACCGCTTTGATGGTTGAAATATTGCTCAGTGCAGCATTCAGCAACAAACAAACAATACAATCCACAAGACATTTTTTCCTTGTCCCTGACCTAATAGTAATACTATTGAGAGCCTAGTCCTAGTCCTAACCCTAAACATCATGATATTGATGGATCTGGTATTCTTACCCAGCCTATAGATGACTGCATAATACTGGCCAACCCATGTCTTTTTCCATATGTATTAAAATAATCTATCTATAAAACCCTCAAGTGTTCTTCTGATGCCATACAAGGGCATGTATGGAGACACTTTACACACTACAAACTGACCTTGCAGTAGTTCAAGGTCATCATTTTCTAGTTCTGCAAGCCACTTTGGCGGAGAGTCGGAAGCTGAAATGGGCTGGAAAGAAAGAGCTAATGGTGAAAACATTCAATCTCGAATTAAACGTAAAACAACTACAGCACTGCAATCCAATACAATCCAACACACCAAACAATGAGCTGGCCTGGGGCAGATGGATATTATCTCGCAGTCAATCACTGAAGAGATGAGGTAAATGGGGATCAATGTCACATTGGAGATTATTGAACTTACAGTATACTGACTCTGAGCCATCCCCAGTGCTCCCGCTGGCTTTTGAAACTGCCAGTTCTAGTGGACTGGCAGCTCTAATAATTTCCTTGCAATAAAAATAGACAAGGGGAAACCCTGATGGTAACAGACAAGCTGACTTCTGAAAAATGTACTTATATGAATTTCATCAATGTTTTGTTCAACAACAAAGATTTATAAGGCTTAAAAAAATAAAAGAATTGGTTCTCAGGCAATGTTTTCTGAAAAATAGGCCTCCACACATAAATCTATTCATTGATGAGTAAAATACTGGAATACAGTATTTGACTCTTGTTGGACTTGGAATATTTAAGGATTTTTAATTAATTTTTTTTAAATGGAAACGTGTGGCAAACTTTATAATGATGCGGGCGGTGCCTGAGAACCAAGACTATTTTTTTTAGACTAAGGTACATTGCACTTTATTTGCCAGTCCATAGGGACTGGCAGTCACCTGAATTACCGGTCCAAGCCTAATTTTACCAGTAAAAAAATGGTAATTACCGGTAAACGGAAACACTGCATCCCCTTAATGCTGAGTGGAAGGCAGGATATCAACAAATACCACATCTTAATGTCTTTTGGTATGAAACGGCAGGGGATTGAACCACCAACTTTCCACTCTCCGGGCAGACGCTCTTACCACTACATTACAGAAGTGGTGTCAAACACTGCAGAATACACAGCATCCCATCTACTGTGGCCTTATGGAAAATACTATTTATGACCTGAAGGGTACAAACTGAAACTTACACTTTTTATGGCAGCAAACTCAGACACACCAGGAACTGAAATCAAGAACATAGAGTGGTGTATGTTAAGCATTTGGATACAGAACATTCACTCACATTACCGGGGTATTCAAGTTCTTGGAAATCCTCCCTCTAGAAGCTGAGCCGAAACTTTAATTATTTTCATTATTCTTTCTCATGGCACTTTGAGAAGTTATTCATATCTGGATTAGCACAGTATAAAAGTAGATTCTTACTAAGCAGTGTTAAGTGCATAAAACTTGTGAGTCAATGTTGTTTTTAGGGATGTCCAGACTCACTTTTAATTCCATGCTTCATGCATCTAAACACCAGGATACACCTGTTGATATGATACAATTCATCAATTCATGCTTTATTTCTATATTGATTATTAAAACTTTAAAATTAAAACTACAGAGTTTTAAAATAACTTGGTCTGATAACTACTCATTTCAGCCAAGGCTATGTCAGTCACTTGACTACATCAACATTTTGCTATACTTCACTACTTACTTTGTTCAGGCCACAGATCAGGAGAGGCTCGATCCAACTTCTCTAAACTCAAAAGGCCATGGTCTTCATCTAAAAAACGTAAACATAAACCAAAAAAGTCAAACTTATTATTGGGATAGTGGGTCCGGAGCTCTAATAACATGAATCATGCTAATTTGCAGGACTTAGCTTGACAATATTTCTATTTGTTGTTTAACAATGCACTCAGCAATATTCCTCTCTAATATAACTACTGTCAGTACATAATTGAGTTTGGACCAGGCAATCCAATGACTGACATCATGAGCATCGAGCAGTTGGGATATGATGACATGGATCGACCAAGTCATGGAATCCGACCACGCAATCCTGTTGGTCATATCTAAGCATGGATTGCTGAAGACCTAAAATAACCCAAGTTCTCACAGAGCTTCACAATATTAAATTAGTAATTGTGTCACCAGTGACCACTGGGACGCTCATGCCCCTGGAAAGAGTGACTGTGTCCAATCAAACAGTGATGACACACAACCATCACAGTCAATGAGTAGCAGACAGAAGTGCACTAGACTCATGAAGAATTGATTTCAGCAACCCACACTTGTCGTAAGAGGAGACTCTATAGCAGGATCAGGTGGTCAAGGGCTTGGTGACTCGATTGATGAATGTCATTGTATCCAAATTGTGTAGATCAATTCTCATAATGTCAATCACTTGATTGGTCCAGACTCGATTATTTACAGACCAGCTTCACCTAGCTGGAATATTGCCGAGAGCTGCATTAAACAACAAAGACCACTAGGCAACAATGTTGGCAAATGTTGTCCCGTTTTCCCTTTACTTCAGTATATTGAGTATGTAAATGTCGTTTAATGCCACTGTCAGCAATAGCCCAGGCATATCACTGCGACCTATAAAACATCAAGTTTGGACCAGGCAAACCGGTGATTGAAAACAAGAGCAACAAACAGTTCATGCAAACAGAGTCCATTATATGGTCTCTGATGCAAATTGTGCACAGTGATCCATATTGTGTCAACTCGCATCATGAATAGGAAACCAGAGACCAATGCTACAATGGAAAGCACAGAAGTACTTTGGGATAATATTATTTAGGGCGGAATTGGTATCAATTAGGCTATATCGAACCTAAACTTCCTGTTTTATTATGCAATAGATTATTATAGACATAAACGGTTAATTGAAATCATTAACCATTTGTGTGAGTAGCGCATAAGCAACTTTTCAACATTTTTGTGTTTGCCCTACATCACATGTTTTTGAAATTACCTCCACTATCAAAATGCGAATTACCCGCATTTTGACCCGCCATTTTGTCTATATAATCTCGACGCAAAGTGTTACTCTGAGAAACTATTCATAAACTAATAAAAGAAACAACTAAATAGTATGATAAATTAGAGAATACTGCAACTAATATCTTTCGAATATTTCTTGTAAATATAAGCATAAAATTTTAGCGTGACGAACCATCTGACTGGTCATTGGTCTTAAGAATACGTAATGATGCTAAAGCAAACGCGGTAGCGCAAATCTTCAAAGTAACCAGTTACAAGATGAAATAAATTGACCAATGAAATTGCCTTTCAGAGTCATACCTCCTCAGGGTCAAGGACACGCACCTGGTTGACGAGCTGAAAATCTTATTGCTCTAGAATCTGTTCGAGGTGTCGAAATTAGCAATTGTTGTCATGGCGTCACTTCATCGTCTGATTCATGTTGGGAAGGTGCAATGTCAATTTACAAATTTGTCTCTGCTTGCAAAATGATACGTCACACTTGAGAATAACATCCACCACGTATGGGTGTCGGTGACCTCAAATGTTTATATAAAAACTATTCATATGAATTTGTGACTAAATCTTCTCCTTTACAAGATAGTTATGGAACTAAAATAAACGTTTATATATGTTTTAATTACTTTGCTAAACGGATGGGTTTTTTTTCATATTTTTACATGTTGCCTATTGATCGATTGTGTGTTGATGCATGACATATAGAAGATCTAAAAGTATGAATTGATCTTTTTCTTTTTTCACAGTACTCATCCTCATAAGAATTTATGTGTTTTGAATTTACTTTTATTTTAAAGAACACAGTAAAATATCTACTACTGCGGCTTTGTTTCAAAGTGAACGAAATATAATAACTTTGGTTCAGAACCCCTTGTTCAGTCGTATAGATCTATGTGTTATAACATGTACCAAACATTTACTGTAATTCTAAGCCCATGTTGGTTAGAAATGGTGGCAAAATTAACAAATTGATTTTGACCTGTGCCAAGACTTGAAGCCCTGTCTTGAGACAGTTAGCCTAGTGGTTAAAGTGTTGGCTCGTCACGCTGAAGACCTGGGTTCGATTCCCGACACGGGTACAATGTGTGAAGCCCATTTCTGGTGTCCCCCCGTCATGATATTGCTGGAATATTGCTAAAATGGCATAAAACCATACTCACTCACTCACTCACTTGAGGCCGTTAATTCTTAACACATAACTGCTGAAAGATACAGATCAACTATCTACAGCTGACATGACTTACCAATGAGTAGTAACTGACACATTCTTTTGTTACTACAGACAATAAAGTTTGTATGAATACTTATAGTAAAAATCCCAAACAAACAAAACCTTAAAAGATCAACTCTCAGCTGTGATCTGTATAAACGCATCAAATGGGAAATGCTTTACAGTTTTGTCATGATGAACCTTGGTTATTGCAGATCTTGAGTGGAGGAAACTTTTCAAGATGCTACACCACAGCGGTAGGAACACAATAGTGTTTACTTGTCCTTCATCAACTGACTCGGCATCAATCTCATTAAAATCTGATCTTAGTTCTTGATATCGCTAAACAAAGATCTGAGGACGTCCCATGAAGGTTCACGTCAGAATGACCTTTCATCCAACCAATCAGAGCGTCTCACCAGATCATGAAAGTGACAGTGGGAATGTGTTTTCTAATCATGCAACCACGAAATATTTAACACGGGGTATTCCGAACGACAGTAACAGCTTTTATGATTATATCCATACAATCTAGGCCATCTATAAGCCATTCCAGAATGTTCTTCTTATCAGTTTTAAATTTTTTTAATCGAGAATATGTCAAAATATGTTTTGAAGCGTAGTTGCCAGTTTGAAACTAGTGTGGCAAAGCTCGAGAAAGCTGCCTTCTGATTGGCTAATGATTTCTTGTCAGTCATTTCATTAGTCGGTCAAAATTCATGAAAGGTCGTTCTGATGTGACCCATAATGGGATGTCCTCAGATCTTTGTTTAGCGGTAGCGAGAACTCAGATCTGATTTTAATGAGATTGACTCGGCATCAGGGACTTACCTGGGTCTATCTGTTTTCGTCTCCAGGAAACTCTGGAGTAATACGTTTTGGGCATCTGAGGAATTGAGATTGGGGTCCCAGGCTGGCGACATGTGATTTCCAGGAATTTTACTGATGCCATGCTCAGAAGCCTTAATTAATAGGATTTTCAATGTTGCATTGAAGACAATCATCTCATTGCCACCCTAAACATTGAGTGTATTTATTACCAGAATAGAAATGTTAGTTGTTTGTACTATCTACAGAGTTGCCATCAACCTAATGGTAAAAGTGAAAAGTCACTATTCCTGAGTTTTTCTAGTCTCAGACTAGTGGACTTCTGTTAAACTTGAACCCTGGCACTAGTGATAGTATCAGGCCATAATGAGTGTTGTGAGGATCCTGGTGCAGGGCGCCTCTGTGCACCATGCTTGTTAGAAGTAATAGACAGCTGATGAGTTGTTTCTTACATCTCACCTGGGTGTTTGTCTTAGTATGCCTTGATAGCATGGGTCACTCACTGGTTTGTCTGGCCCTGATAACCGGTAGACATTTCACCATGATTGGCATAGCTGAAACATGCATGGGATAACACAATGTACAACCGCTGACTTGACCCAGGACTCAAGCTGCCGCTGGTCATGGGTTTGAATCCCAGATATGACTTGACTTACAAAGGTAGGGGTCCAGGGTAACCAACAGTTAATTTCAAGGGTCCTTGCAGACAAAATGAGGGTCCTGTAAAGTAATGAAATGGTGTACTGTACATTTTAATAATTGCTTTAGAGCCTGGAATGAATCAAAGATCATGTGAACAGTGGTCATGATTTATGGATGAAATAACAGACACCCATAACTGTGCTGTAGGTACAATGAATATTACTGTGCGTCCCTAGAGACGTAGTGTATTCTTTTTCTGTGTCCAATCTCAACATTTGTGCGTACTTGACTCACAATTGTGTGTTGCTTAAAACCTTGTTTTGAATATTGTTCTTCTTCCATGTCTATCAGGATCCATATGGTCATAGGTTTCAGCTAATTGGTAACAGGATCACTGTGGGCTTCGACCAATATTTAACTGGATTGTTCTAGGCAGATTGCAGGGCCACAGGAAAAAAGCCTTTGTTTTGGGCAAACCACCCAGCCCTGCAAAGCTCGAACTGATAAGTTTTTTGCCAGCTTTAATTTTAGCTCACCTGACTGTTGTTTATCTGTCGTCAACTTTACCTTTTTCTACATCTCTTCTAAAACTACATGGTCTCTGAAGCTGAAATTGTTGCTTTATAATTCCAATACAATTTTAGACATGGACATGTAACCAATTAATGGTCAATATAGTGAATAGTTCAAGTAGATCAATGCTGTACAGTGACAGCAGGCTAGTAAACAATTATTATCTATTTGATTAATTTTGATAACTCACTCTTCATCTTTGTAACCATAACAAAGTTGAAGTATCATAAAATTGTTTCTTCATTATTCAGGTGAGCTGCAGAGCTATTATTTGATTATTTAACGTAAATGCCCCTCAAATCAGCATGTCTTTTTCAATCAATGATCATCTAACTATCTCCTTTAAAGAACACACCCTCCTCCTTCCCTACTTACAGTAATTGTGTTGCATGAAACTTAATGTTTAGTTATGGCCTGATATTACTGGAATATCGCTATACGTGTTCAAAGATTTGTTAAGCTCACCTGACATGTGTCTGTCTTTGCAGCCCACCACCAAGATGTTTATTGATGGACAGATGGTGGAATCCAAGACAAATAAATGGATAGATGTCCACGATCCGGTGAGGAAAGGCTGTCACTCTGAAATCCTATAGAACATAGAATAAGTAGTTTAATTTCAGCATTGGTTAGTTGTAGATTGATGAAAACATATGACAAAGATATGTCTCAATTTTGTACATTGCTATGCTTGTTATAAGCATTATTTCTGCCACCTTTGGTCTTGAAATATGTCATTAATCAGCAGTAGTATTTAATAACAACATATCTTATTCTGGAAAGCCCATTTGGATTCAGAGACAGAAGACGTAACTCTTATCACAGGCTTCTTAAAATGGCATATTTGAAAGAGGATCCATATGGTCAAAGTGTGTCCCCTGGTTGATGTTGTGTTATTGTATCCACACAAACTTGGGTCATTGCTCATGCTACCAACCACTGGTTTACTTGGCTGATTAGTTTGTTTGTTGCTGAACACCGCACTCGGCAATATTCCAGCTATATGACAGCGGTCTGTAAATAATCGAGTCTGGACCAGACAGTCAAGAGTGATCGACATCAAGAGCATCGATCCACGCAATTGGGATACGATGACTTGCATCAACCAAGTCAGCAAGCCTGACCAGCCAATCCTGTTATTTGCCTTATAGTTTTCTCTTATGACAAGCATGGGTTGCTGAAGATCTATTCTACCCCAGATCTGCACAGGTCAGCTGATTAGTTGTTGCCAATATACATGATACAGGCAACCACCTTGGTTGAGCTTGACAGCAGCTGACTGCAGCATTATGCCACGTTCACTCACACAAACATCCTGGTTCTGATAACAGCAGTGGGTGTGTATCTGGAGGGATTCATTTGTACTACCATATTGTCTAGGTTCACTGAAGATTTTGATGCATGTCAGTATTGTTCGTCACAATACGTTTATTTCCCTGTGGGGGGGATTTGCTCCCCAGTAGCCTATACTTGTTGATAGTGTCATCTTGACCTGATAGTGCGTCACCATGACCTGATGGTGTATCACCATGACATGATGGTGTATCACCATGACATGATGGTGTGTCGCCATGACATGATGGTATGTTGCCATGACATGATGGTGTGTCGCCATGACATGATGGTGTGTCGCCATGACATGATGGTGTGTCGCCATGACATGATGGTATGTTGCCATGACATGATGGTGTCGCCATGACATGATGGTGTGTCGCCATGACATGATGGTGTGTCACCATGACATGATGGTGTGTCGCCATGACATGATGGTGTGTCACCTGATGGTGTGAATCCTTGTTGATGTTTTCTGTCACAGCATATTTTTACTATTGTGAGGTGTCAAATGATATTGCAGGCAACCAATGAGGTGGTGACGCGTGTCCCAGAGTGTACCCAGGATGAGATGAAGGCTGCTGTGGCATCGGCCAAAGAGGCGTTTAAGAGCTGGTCACAAACAACCATCCTCACAAGACAACAGATCATGTTCAAGTTCCAGCAGCTCATCAAGGATAACTTAGTAAGTTACAGATGTCCACACAGGGCTCTCATAGTTACATGTTAAGTAGTGGTGTAACGATTGATCAGATAATCAATACATTGCAGTGGCCATTGATGACCTGATGATCATCAATGACATTTAAGGTGGCACGGGTGGCCTAGCCGTCTAAGGCGCCGTGATTCACAGTGCAGAGTTGCCTTCCTATGGCATGCTGGAAACCTATGATTGTGGGTTAGAATCCCAGTTTGTCCCGATTATGTTCCTAGGTTTGTCAGCACCATATCCGTACTTGTGGGTTTCACCGAAGTGGTAAACATCTGAGACCTGCATCACATACTGTCAAAAGCGGCGTTAAACGCAACTCACTCACTCAATGACATTTAAGCTAAAAATAAAGCAATTTTATCTTATCCTGACTCATACTTATTGCTTATCTCTCTCTCTTCCGAATAGGTAGCGGAAACATCCTGTGCTGTTCCCAAAGAACAGAGAAAACAGCTCACCCAAACGCACCCTCACTCTGCGCATGCGCACCGGAACCATGTGACCAAGCCCAGTAACTCATCACTCTCTCTTTTTCGCGCCATCTTGGCAGCTGGAAATTTTTTGCTGTGCATCGTAATCCAAGCTTTCCTTAAAAATTCACCCTTTTAACAAAATTTTTTGCTTGGATTATCTTCTGTGGTTTTATATACATCATATCTAACGATTATTTTATATATTTGGCATTAGAATTTTTTCGTTATTTGGACTTAAAGACAAAGTCGAGTTATGAAAACATGTAACCGATGTAAATTACGTGTTTCAGATTCGGACCCTCATCCAACCTGTACCAGCTGCACAGTACAGAACTGCACTGCAGAGAATAGATGCAAATTCTGTGCCCCCGTGGGGAAGGAAGAATTTAGTAATTATCTTTGTGCAGTGCAGAGGAAAAAGATGGATCGAAAACGACGTGAGTCATCACGCTCGTTGTCATCCAGGGAGACGGCAAGAAGTAAGAAGAGGCGAGAATCTACGCCCTGCCCTTCGTCAGAGGAATTCGAATTTGATATTATTCAAATAACTCCCGCTGAAGATGATGCAGTCACCCCCCATCTTACTTCCTCGTCTACCAAGTAAGAAGTCTGGAGGGTCTAGGAATAAACCTACTGAAAGTTTCAGTCAGGCGATCAATCTGCAACAATTAGCTGAGAAAAAGAGTGCTGCATCATCTACTTTGAAGCCGTCTTCCCCTAGGAGAGAGCATGTTTTTGCAGAGGTTATTACCTCAACAAAACCACAGACTTCGTCCGTAGTCACGAAGGGGATTTCAAGAAAATCAGCTGTTTCTTCTAGCCAGAAGAAAGCCTGCGCACAGACTATTACGTCCACACAACCCCAGAGGTTCGCGCAGCCCGCAGTGTCATCCAATCAGGCTAGAAATACAGCCGATATAAACCTCAATCAGCCTCAGACCTTCGCGCAGATACCGGCCTTCGCGCAGCCCAACACAACAATTACGCAATCCCCTACCTTCGCGCAGGCTATTAATCAACAAGAGTATCCACAGACGCCAGCCTTCGCCCAGGCTCCCGCCTTCGCGCAGCCCTCAACGTTTACACTGCCAACTACCTTCACGCAGCCTACCTTTTTTACACAAGGTACTTTGCCAACGCCTGCTATTAACACAGATATGATAGCAAATATCACTCAGCAAGTTGTAATGGCTATGCAACAACAAATGTGTAAACAACCTGGCACGCAGTCGACTACCTCTTCACACAATAGCTCGCAGATGTCGCAGCCTTCATTTACGGCTCCGAATCCTAACGCCTCCTATCTTCTGCGAGAGGAGGATGTGTTCGAGCCCCCTCAAAATGACGACACATCGGGGGAAAATTACCCTTCAATTTATGAGGATTATGAATTATTGGCGTGGATTACAGATAGACTACCGATATCATCACCGTCAAGAAATTCTTCTCCCACTGATACATACTGTATCAAAGGGGACGATATAGACACACTAACCATTCCACCGATAAAACCAATCTCCAACATTGCAGAGAATCTTAATGTTTCTTTTGCGAAAGCCACGAAATCACAAGGACTTCCAACACCGAGCTTTAATTTTAAGAAATTCCCCATGCACGCCATGTCGCAATTTCTTCGCTCACCGGAGATTGATGAAGATTACTCACTTATGTCAGACTCCAAAAGTAAAGCCTATCGCATTGAGGATAAGAAAATTGCACAACTTGATACGACTACAAGACATGCATTCTTTGGACTAGCGATGTCACGCGCTATGAATGAAGCTATGATCTATGAATTAAAAGAGCCTCAGAACGACCGTGAAAGAATGTTACTTTCAGCGCTCGTCAATCAAAAGAAAAATCAAGAAATTATTTCTGATCATATGAGTTCAGTGTCGGCAGGTTTAACACTACTACGACGACAAGGTCTTATAAATAATTCTAATTGGTCAGATACCTATACCAAAGAATTATTAAGACAACCCTGGGAGGCCCCAACCATTTTTAATGGTAACATACGGAAAATCAACAAGTAAGTGCTTCAAGACTCCAAAGATCATATGCTGATCAAGTCAGTTCAGACTATGAATTCTATGTATCGTCAATCCATGCAGAAAACCCATTTCAAAAGCAGTTTCACGGGCATTCAAAAAGCTAAAGAGAAACGCTCGTACAACTACAGAGGCGGGAAATCATCTGCCTTTCACAAGTCACATGACACGTCACGTGATGCCGGTCGCGGCCGCGGATCGAGGGGATACCGCAATTACCGGTGAAGATGGGCTGATGAACGACTGGGAACTTTCCCCCCCAGCCGTTCATGTACAGCATTCCCCAGTAGGCGGAAGATTGGCAAGATTTTGGATGAATTGGGACATTCTAGGAGACGAATTTGTTTCCAACATTCTAAGAAAGGGCTACGCCCCGACTTTAGTCAAGAAACCCCCGTTATCTCGCAAGCCACCGGAAATACGTTATCGGAAAGAACTTTTGCCGAAGTTGTACGAAGCAATCAATTCACTTCTCAACAAGGGCGCAGTCGAGAAAATTCAACCAGAATTACTAACGCCGGGTTTCTATTCACCGATCTTTCTGGTTCCCAAAAAGAATTCAAATGAAAAGTTTCGTTTGATTTACAACATGAGGAAATTCAACAAGAAATACCTCCCAGAACCGGAGAAGTTCAGAATGATTCATTTACCACAACTAAAACAGATGATAAGACAGCAGGACTTTCTCGGAAGCATCGATCTACAGGATGCTTACCTACACATTCCCATAAAACGGACTTTCAGGAAATATTTACGTTTCCTCTTCAAAGGACAACATTACCAGTGGGCGGTCCTGCCCTTTGGAATTTCCACGGCCCCGTGGCTATTTACACGAGTGACCAAACCAATTGACAATTGACATTTCTTCACAACAAGGGAATTTGTTGTGCTTTTTACCTAGACGACGGGATACAAACCCATCAATCAACAGAGGTACTCAGACTACAACTGAATTTCACCCTGAAATTATTAACACAACTGGGTTGGTTAATAAATTTTCAGAAGTCCGATCTACAACCATCTCAGGACCTCAAATTTCTGGGGATCAGATTTCTAACCAATCAGAACCTAATAATGGTACCAGAAGATCGGTGGATAAAAATCAAGACTTGCTTGCCAACAGCAATTTACAAGAAAATCTCAGTCAACGAATGGCAAGTGATACTAGGCTTACTCACGTCAGCCCAAGCGTTGACGGTCCGAGGCAGACTACACTTACGCCCTATTCAGAGATTTATAAATCAATACCTAGAGTATCAGGATTTAAAACTGCAACTACCACAAACTTTGAGGAAACACCTCTTATGGTGGACAGTGAAATCGAACGTTTGCGCAGGAACTTGTTTAAACGAGCCGGATTACAACAACCACTTATTCGTGGACGCCTCACTTCAAGGTTGGGGAGCTCACTTCAACGGAGAAGTAACAGCAGGCATATGGTTAGAAGCAGAAAAGCTCTACCACATCAATTATCTGGAATACGAGGCAGTAATCCGTGCAATATTTCACTGGGCCCCACAGTTAAGAAACCAACGTCTGATGATCAGAACAGACAATTCAACTGTGGCATACAATATAAACCTTCAAGGCACGACAAAATCGGAGACCCTCCTGAAGTTGACATTTCAACTTTACGAGCTAGTAGACAATCTCAACTTAACAATAAAGGCAAGACATATACCAGGAGTGGCAAATGTCTTAGCAGACGCCTTATCCAGGCCAGCCAAACCATCACCGACAGAATGGAAGCTACACCCAGAAGCATTCCAACTGGCAATAAAAGAGAAAGGTTGCCCACTGATAGACCTATTTGCAACCAGATTCAACAATCGGATAACAACGTTTGTATCACCAGTGCCAGACCCACTAGCTTGGTCAGTCGATGCTCTGTCAATATCATGGGAGGGACTAAATGCGTACGCGTTTCCTCCACCAGCCGTGATACCACAGATATTACAAAAGATCCTACACACGAGCAGCCTACAACTGCTTTTGGTAGCGCCTTACTGGCCGGCGAGAACGTGGTTTCCAGATCTCATCGAACTAGCAGGGAATCCAATGTTAAAACTTCCAAACTGGCCAAATCTACTGCTACATCCTCACTCCAATCAGGTCCATCCAAGACCAGATCTTTATGAACTTCACGTATGGAGCATATCAAGAGCAGTCTCGTTAAAAGAGGATATTCCATAAGAGCAGCTAAGGCAGTCTCCTTAGCACTTCGTAGATCAACGAGGAATCTCTATGATGATAAATGGAAAGGTTTTGACCAGTTTGCAACATCCAAGGGTTTTTCTGCAGCCAAAGCTACTATACCACAAGTAGCAGATTACTTACGAAGTACAAGGAATCTTAAAGGTTCGACACTGGGCACTTATTTGGCCGCTAGCAGTTCTGTACTGACAATGGCTAACGGGATAAAACTTACTAAAGTTCCCAAGCTGATAGCCCTACTCAGATCCTTCAGACTTGAGGACCAACAGAAAAGATTTAGAGCCCCAGCATGGGACCTAAATATAGTGCTACAACACCTAACCAGTGATGCATACGAGCCGCTCCAACAGGCCGACTTTGAACACCTGACGCAGAAAACCCTATTTCTTCTGGCATTAGCTACGGCAGCCAGAATGTCTGAAATCCATGCGATAGACTTCAATCGCATCACATTTGACAGTGGTAACAACTCATCAGCGCACCTTGGCTTAAGATGGGACTTTATTGCAAAGAACCAGTTACCAGGCCAACCAGACAGACAATTCCACATTCCGGCTCTTTCCTCCGTCCTTGGTGCAGAGGATACAGAGGATTTATCACTATGCCCAGTCAGAGCCTTAAGATTATACCTACAAAAGTCTAAACCTAGAAGACAAGGTTTTAAATGACTATTTATTCCTTTATTAAGGAATACACACACAGAGGTATCCAGAACAACTATCTCAATTTGGATGAGAGCTGTTATTCTTAGAGCATACAGAGCAGTGGGATTGGACCCCCCTTCAGCCTCCAACCCGCACGGTGTAAGAGCCTTAGCCTCAACTTTGGCACTTCACAGCAACTGCTCCATAACAACTATTATGGAAGGTTGTTTCTGGAAATCAGATACAGTTTTCGCCAATCACTACCTCAGAGACCTTGCTACAGAAGACTTAGCTGGTATTCACCAATTCGGACCATTAGTTGTGGCACAACAACTCACGAATCCTACCAGACGACATTAGAAGATCACACTCGCCCAATATCACGTAGACTTGTTGACGTCAGGTTACTGTTCCATAACCAACGACTGAGAGTCCATGCCCCCTGTTTTACAATGTAATTCAGCACATGAGTGAAAAAGATTGTGTTTAGATTATTGCTCTTCTCTTAACACCCTAATCGTTTAAGGTGAACAAGATTTATCTTAGAAACCTTATAAATCCACAAATCTATATGATTTACTTCCATTTTGCTGCTCACAAAAAAGGAAGGTGGTCCCCAATTAAGAATTTACACAGAAGATTAACAACGTTCCTATGGGGTTTATAGAACAGATCGATGTTTATCACACATACAGGTGAAACCCACCACCTACTGTGAGATTCAAGCAATAAGTATGAGTCAGGATAAGATAAAATATGTATTTTTTAGAGTAAAAATATCATTTATACTTATCCTGACTCATACGAATGAGTACCCTCCCGGCCTTCCCCTCTTTCCACTGATGTGTTTCGACCATTAAGTAGGAAATAAGAGAGAGTGATGAGTTAATGGGCTTGGTCACATGGTTCCGGTGCGCATGCGCAGAGTGAGGGTGCGTTTGGGTGAGCTGTTTTCTCTGTTCTTTGGGAACAGCACAGGATGTTTCCGCTACCTATTCGGAAGAGAGAGAGATAAGCAATAAGTATGAGTCAGGATAAGTATAAATGATATTTTTACTCTAAAAAATACATTTTTCTTTTAATATCCAGTGGTAGATTAAGTCTTCAGCAACCCATGCTTGCCATAAAAGGTGTCTATGTTTGTCGTAAGAGGCGACTAACAGGATCGGGTGGTCAGACTCGCTGACTTGGTTGGTGCATGTCATTGTATTCCAATTGCGTGGATCGTTGCTCATGATGTCAGTCACTGGATTGTCTGGTCTCGACTTGATTATTCACAGACCATCGTCATATAGCTGGAATATTGCTGAGTGCTGCATTAAACAACAAAGAAACAATCAAATCAAGTGACTCAACTGAAACTTTGTGGAAAATAAAATGATTAAGAGTTTCTTTTAGGTACCATCATCAGTTTTGAATTTTGGGCACTGCTAACAATGTTGCAAAAATTTAAAAAAATTATGTTAACTTATCCTGCGTTACACCATTATTATGGTACTTTTTCGATGCTGAATATTATATTTAAAGCACATTTTTGTAACCCTGATCAATGGATCAGTGTGCACGAGACAATCATTCTCAGCTCCCTAGGGAGTTTACAACCCAAGCTGCATGTGAGGTGCCAGAAGGTTAACAGCCACATTGCGATCTCCTACCAGGTACCCATTCACTGCTGGGTGAACAAACGCACATTTCAAACAAATTCACTTGCCCAAGGAGATGCACATGTGTTCATGATATACATGGTAGAGCTAAAAAGGTGAGGAGAATGGAATGGCAATGATTGTTTTATTAAGTATGTGCTCTTAGTAGTCTTAGGTGTGTAAGAAAAACAAGTTCACATGTATAAGGCTAGTCTTTTTCTATGTGTTGTTGTCTGGTTCTATTTAGTTAAGAGGAGACTGGTAGAGCTTATCACGACACGTTTTCCATTTCCTTTTCATAAGAATTCATATAAAATTTGACTTCACTCAAAGACATCCTTGCTTACACAGTGTATTATGTCTCCCCCAGAATGGAGGGAGACATATTGTTTTTGGCACGGTTCCCGTGGGCGTGGGCGTGGGCGTGGGCATCGGCGTTCCCACCGTTTCCGGACCATAACTCAGAAACCATTTAATATTTTTTCGCGAAACTTTGTATACACATTAACCCAGCACTGAAGTGGTGCCTTTTGCTATTTAGAGATTTTTGACATTTTTATTTTTTCGCGTTTCCATGGAGATAACTTGAACATAGACTCTGAATGGGGGTAAGCTTTGTTTCCGGACCATAACTCGGAAACCGTTTAATATTTCTTCGCGAAACTTTGTATACACATTAACCCAGCACTGAAGTGGTGCCTTTTGCTATTTAGAGATTTTTGACATTTTTATTTTTTCGCGTTTCCATGGAGATAACTTGAACATAGACTCTGAATGGGGGTAAGCTTTGTTTCCGGACCATAACTCGGAAACCGTTTAATATTTTTTCGCGAAACTTTGTATACACATTAACCCAGCACTGAAGTGGTGCCTTTTGCTATTTAGAGATTTTTGACATTTTTATTTTTTCTCATTTCCATGGAGATAAGTGGAACATAGGCTCTGAATGGGGGTAAGCTTTGTTTCCTGACCATAACTCAGAAACCGTTTAATATTTTTTCGCGAAATTTTGTATACACATTAACCCAGCACTGAAGTGGTGCCTTTTGCTATTTAGAGATTTTTGACATTTTTATTTTTTCTCATTTCCATGGAGATAACTTGAACATAGACTCTGAATGGGGGTAAGCTTGGTTCCCGGACCATAACTCGGAAACCGTTTAATATTTTTTCGCGAAACTTTGTATACACATTAACCCAGCACTGAAGTGGTGCCCATTAGTTGTTTGAAATTTCTAGGAGTTCTATTTTTGTCTCTGTTATTTAGTAATGGAGGGTGGGAATGAAGAGATGGGGTTTAACGTGAAGTAAACGAATGAATGGGGGTTGGGGGAGTGGGGGGAGACATATGTTTTTACGAGTAAAAACACTTTCTAGTTATATCTCCATTCTGTTATGATACATACTGTGGACCCAGAACTACCATAACTTAGTGTTGAGTATTAGATCAAATGATGTGAAGGTGAAAATAGCCATCCAATTAAATTAAGCATATGTGCAAGAGACATCCTGTGGGATATTACTCACAAGAGACATTTTGATGGTCATGTCTCATTCTATGTGAATCGTTGGTACCTGTAGCTCCAGGCTACTTTTTTTTTATAGAATTCAGGGATTTATCAAGACCTGTTCTGAGGCTTATAATCGGCCCCAAGTCTGAAGCAATTGTCAGTAAGAATTCCCAAATTGCGTTGCTTTGCAGATGTGACTTACGATTCATTGATAACAAAACCAGTGATGAAGCTTTCATGTGTAGTGTTACATTTTTGCATTGAATGAAATATAAATATGATTAATATACTGCTGAATTTAAGAAAATAGACCTTTGAGAAAGTCCTGATTTTGGACAAAATTATGTTTTTTCCTCATTTTGTCTGCTAAGGGCACTTTTGAATCCTGGGATGGAGATATTATACCTTACATGATGGAGGAGGGCTTGAGGCCTGATGGTCATGGAGTTCTGATACCACAGTATTGTCATCAAATAGGGTCCCAAGAAGGCATAGAATTTGTCAGTGGATAAGTTCCTATTTTTTAACTTATCCTGCATTACTCCGTATTGCATTTACTGCTGTCTTTGACAGAGAGACAAACTGTGTGAGATCCAGCTGCTGAAGAAAGTTGTCCCAACCAGCCCAGGAGGCAGCGCCCTCTCACAGTCGGCACGTGACCCGGAAGTCATGACGTCACACAAAAAGACATAACTGCTTTGTCACCTCCACGGACGGACGTACTTTGTATCCCTTGTGGAAATTAAAGCTTATTATTTGTTTTTTATATTTTGCGTGTTTCTACATTCATTATATGCTGCTACATTGTTACCTGTTATGGGCCGTGACCTTAGGGTCTTCCCATTCGTAAATTGTAACGTTTATCGCTCGTCTGTGGCTCACGTCACAGTAATTTACGGGCGCAATGTTGTTCCCGCCATTTTGTTTTCTTTCCCGCCATTTTGGCCATTCACCACGTGGCCATGTAATGTCGTGCTCTGCGTTTTGAATTCTCTCTTTGGCTTGGGTAATACATTACATTTATGTATGTTGTTTTGGTGCCTTTTTGCTACCTCTCAGCGTAATTGTTTCTTCTCTTAAACTTCAATATAATACGAAGTTTTTGAGTTACATTATGTCTCCCGTACTCTGTGGTTTTGCCACATGGTTACGTGTTTGCTTAAGGCTTTGCCTTTTCGCTCCCATTTAGCGTACTTGTTTATCTCATAAACTTTAATAAAATATACTGTTTTTGAGTTACTTTATGCTTCCCATACTTTGTGATTGGTCACATGGTTATGTGTTTGCTTAAAGCTATGCTTTTTCGCTACCTTTTAGCGTCATTGTTTGATCTCATAAACTTCATTGAAATACAAAGTTTCTGAATCACATTATGCTTCCCGCACTTTGTGGCTTTGCCACATAGTTATGTTTTGCTTAAATTCCAGATTTTCTGCCTCGCTGCACTTGTTGCCGCGGGAACAAATCTGGTCGGGGCCGCCCCTTTCTGCCGTGATTGTACGACGCCCTGTACTTTCACAAGGCAGTGCCGATGTTGCAGTCATTCGTCGCTGTGATCCTTCAGCTCATGCGAGTATCCAGGACACACCTCGCTCAACGTGCTCGTCGACCCCCACCTACGTTGACGGCAGCAGCGCTCAGCGAAGCTTCACGACGGCTCCCAGCGTAGAGTCTGCCTCCCATGGCACGACATACGACCGTTCACCACGGTCTCCTACTCCACCGGCGGCTCCAGCGCTCCCAACGTAGAGTCTGCCTCCCATGGCACGACATACGACCGTTCACGGTCTCCAACACCGTCAACGCTGATGTCTCCGGCGCCTCTGATGTCCTGGCGCACCCGGCGCTCCCGGCGCCTCTGATGTCTCGGCGCCTCCGATGTCTCGGCGCCTCTGATGTCCCGGCGCTCCCGGCACTCCCGGCACCTCTGATGTCTCGGCGCCTCTGGCGCTCCCGGCGCCTCTGATGTCTCGGCGCTCCCGGCGCCTCCGATGTCTCGGCGCCTCCGGAGGCGCCGAGACATCAGAGGTGCCAGGAGCGCCGGAGGCGCCGAGACATCAGAGGCGCCGAGTCATCGGGAGCGCCGGGACATCAGAGGCGCCGAGACATCAGAGGCGCCGGAGAAGCATGGTGAAACAACTGTCGCCGCTCCTGTCGCTACTCTCCCGTCGGTCTTCGGGATCGTGACTATCGTTCTACTTCCTGGGTGGAATCATTTCAACCAATAGACAGTTGGTCTGATTCAACTTGCCCACTGAGACGTTATCCATAATCCCGTCGTTTAAAGCGCTATGATTCCGGAGAGATGACCTGCGGGTTTTCCATCGAAACAGCGTCATGTGAACTGCGTCTGTATCAGATTCGACGACGACATCCACTTACAAAGAGTTTACTTCGTCGACATCGCAGACATCAACGCTGTTCTACCCTACCCTAGCGCCAGCGTTCCTGAAAGAGACTCTTCCTCGGCGCTCCCCGGGTTTTCCACGACGCCCATGGGGTTCCGTGTTTTATCGCAAAACTCGGGTACACCACTTGTTGTCTCTCACACAGTTCATTGAGGATTGTCTGTGTGTGGAGTTTGCACCTCAGTTCCGACTCCAAGGCGGTTTTCTCGGCTACTGCGCAGAGTGATTTACATGTCACATGCCAAGTACTCGGACTGTCAACAACTCCGACCGGATTTAGGTCAACTTACCATGGCAAGGGGTGCCATGTATTTCTACAGATTGGTTTCCATGTCTACCTGTACGCTTGGTGATACCACTCAACCAGGCGCCTGTCGCAGTCCATCCATGCACGGATGTTGGAAACAATAGACCTCCTCTTCCAACACGGCTGTCACAAGGAACCTTGTTTCATCAACCCTTCGCTATAAGAACGATAGCGCCTATAGGCGTTCAAGGGATGGAAAAGATCGCCTTCCTTCGTCCGGTTTGATCTTTTTGACTACGACACCTGCCTATCTTCCGCCTTGACTACCGGACACAGTGTCGATTTGATACTTAAAGTCCCTCGGCCGTCCCACTGACCCCTGTTGCATACCTGCCTCGTATCGTGTTGTCGTCCTCCATCGTCACCTCGATATAAGAACAGGAGTACTTATACGCCGCTTCAGGGATGAAAACGATCTCATTACTTCGTGCAATGGCCATATTGCCTCGACTTCCTACTACCCGGTTACGTCGATGCCCCGGCGGTCGATTGTGAAGCTGGTTTACTTCGTCTACTTGAGGTTGGCGATCACACCTTTTTCCGAATCGTACCGACGGTACGCAATCGCAGACCCCTGTTGCTGACTACCTCCCCTGCCACCTTGTCAGTGGCTAGTGGCCCACACCAGCCCACATTGTGACCACCTGTGATCCAGAGATCAACACCATTGGCACAGCAACAGCCTCGAGATAAAGGCTTATCCAGGACGTCACTTGCTGACAGTGCATTCTCGGTCACGCCCTGTTGATCGTGTCCACTGACGACGTCACCGTAGTGTGGTGTTTGCGGACCCAGAGTACTCGCCCCTCTCCCGGCGCTACAAACTCGACCGGCGCCCCCGAGAATCACCATCTTCGGCGTTCCAGGCGCCTCAAGCTCTCCGACGCCTCACACTCTCCGGCGCCTCGGGCCAGACTATGTCAAACGGTCGACACCCCAACCCTAGATCTGTTTGCCTCATATCTGAATGTGGCCAGCTGTCGTCTTCCATTCCACCTGTGCCGGATACGACCGCCGTGGCAGTCGAAGCCTTCCATCGTTCCTGAGAAGGATTACGCGCGTACGCTTTTCCGACTCCGGTTCTCCCTCCCACGGTTCTTCAGAGATCCAGGCCACTCGACCCCTGCCATTGACTTTGGTCTCGCCTTATTGGTCAGCCAGAAGTTGGGTTATCGACTTTCGAAACATAGCCAGAGACAACCCCTGGAACTTCCGGTGTGGTCCAACCTTCTGCTCCATCCACACGGTCTGTTGCCACACCCTCATACCCGCATGTTATCGTCTGCACGCCTGACACACATGCAGAAAGCCAAGGGCTATTCGGCTAGAGCGACCAAGGCTATTGCTTCAGCCAACCGTCCATCTACAGGAGGACTGTATGCTGATAAATGATGCTTGTTCCAGGCATTTTGTTCTGACAAACACCAGGATCCGATGACAGCGTCACCGCAGATCCTGGATCAGTTCCTTCTGTACTTGCGTAGCACCCGTCGGTTGAAGGGCTTACCACCCCCACATACCTGGTCGCCATCTACTCCGTTCTGGCCATCCCAGACGATCGGAGAAAGACGAAAATTCCCGACCTACGGGCCTGGCTGCGCTCGTTCAGTCTTGAAGACCTGAAGGCCAAGTTCGGACCGCCTGCGTTGGATCTGAATGTGGTCTTTAACGCCCTTCGAACCACTCCCCTCGTCTTCCTTCTACGACCTTAAGTAGAAGACGGGTGTTTCTACTGGTTTTGACTACTGCCGCTCGAGTCCATGTACAGCACGCCCTCGACGTCTCCCGTGCCCGGTTCGAATGCGGTACCCAGGGCGCCGTTCATCATGGACCGTACTGGGACGTCAGCGTAAAGACTCAACTCCCAGGACAGCCTGATAGATCATTCCTTGTCCCCTCCCCCCTCGTCCAGTGTGGGTGCCGAGGATGAGGATGAGCGTCATTATGCCCAGTAAGGGCACTGAAGGTTATTCTACGATCTAAAGACTGCCGCAAGTCTAGGAAACACCTTTTTCTGCCGGTCTCCCCTTCGTCGCACTCGTTGGTCAGCCGGAATACTTTTCCCCGTGGCTCCGGGCGGTCATCCTTAAAGCTTATGAGCCGCCGGATTGGACCCTCCCCCCAAAGGCTATCACCTGAAATAAAATGAGATCAGGGCGATCGTATTTACACTGGTTCTTCACGGTATACTGTTCCATCCAGTCGTTCAGGGAAGCCTGTTCGTGGCGATCGGACACCGCCTTCACCAACCACTACTTCCGTGATGTAGCCTTGAAAGTTGTCGCCGGCGTTCACAGTTTTGGTCCCTGGTTGTAGCCCAACAGGTCATCTATCTCCGACGCTACTGATTCTCCGATACCCTGAGCGGGGCCCGTCGACCTCTCTGGTGTTTATCACCCCAGACGAGACGGCTCTCTTGCGTTCCCCATTCGCTCTTAGGTCAGTTTTAGTTTTGGGTTACCCGACTCATTCTATTGCTGTCACCTATCCGGGTTTTACTTTTTGCATCAACTCTCGTTTCCTGACGACAGGAATGGTAGTTGATGTGGACACCGGCGCCGACGCCAACGCCAACGCCGCTGCTTCTCTGATACCTGAGCGGTGCCCGTTGACCTCACCGGTGTTCCTTGCCACCAGCCTAGAGGGCTCTCCTGCGTTTCGCATTCGCTCTTGGGATCGTTCGTAGATTTTGCCGCCGACGCCGCTGATTCTTCGAATCCCCGAGCGGGGCCCGTCGAACTCTCTGGTGTTTATCGCCTCAGATTAGAGGGCTCTACTGCGTTTCGCTTTCGCTCTTCGGTAAGTTATATATTTTGGCTACACGCCTCATTGTATTTCGGTTACCTATTCGGGCGTTTCGTTTTTGCATCGACTCTTGTTTCCCGAAGACAGGAATGGTCGTAGATGTTCCGGTCATCACTTGTATGCGGTGCGGATTCATCGGACCTTGACGAGGGTTTAATATGGTTCACATCTGCAGGTATGCCCACCGGCCATGCCGTCTGATAAAGATGCAATACGGAGTAATGCAGGATAAGTTAAAAAATTTAGTAAAATCTAAATATTTTTTACATCTGTATACTTATCCTGCATTACGAAGTCTAAGTGCCCTCCCTTTCGCTACGCTTCCTCTCCACGAAGTTTCAGATGTTATGTTTAAAGCAGTTATGTCTTTTTGTGTGACGTCATGACTTCCGGGTCACGTGCCGACTGTGAGAGGGCGCTGCCTCCTGGGCTGGTTGGGACAACTTTCTTCAGCAGCTGGATCTCACACAGTTCGTCTCTCTGTCAAAGACAGCAGTAAATGCAATACGGAGTAATGCAGGATAAGTATACAAATGTAAAAAATATTTAGATTTTACTAAATTTTGTCCCATTTTATGAATAATGTTCTTTTAATTTCACAGAAAAATATTGCAGCCAATATCACGAAGGAGCAAGGAAAGACTCTGATGGATGCTGAGGGCGATGTCATGAGGGGGTTACGTAAGTGTTTTTTTATGCCACCATATTCCAGCTATATGATGACAGCCTGTATATAATTGTGTTTGGACCAGAAATCCATTGATCAGTATCATGAGCAATGATCCACTTTAAGGTACGATGACACAATTAACCAAATCACCTAGCCTGACCACCCGATCCATTTGGTTGCCTCTTATAATCCAGTGCTGTAATTAAGAAATAATCCTGCTTTGATTGTTTTGTCAGACATTACCACATATCATTGAAGTGTTGTGAGATTAACTTTAGCAGAGAAACTTGTAGCACAAAGCTGTGATGTGTTGAAGGTTGCTGCAGAGATTATTGACTGTTGTCATGGTTACAGAGGTGGTGGAACACTGCTGTAGTGTGACCAGCCTCCAGCTTGGGGAGACGCTCCAGGGCATCGCTAAGGACATGGACACGATGACGTACAGACTGCCCCTGGGTGTGTGTGCCGGTATCACCCCTTTCAACTTCCCGGCCATGATTCCACTGTGGGTGAGTTGCTCTGTTTGAATCATGTCAGGAAATATGAAGTCACATCTGTCATAAACTACATGCATTTTATCAGATAAATATGCACAATAAATCACCAAAACCCATGCCCAATGTAGCTTTTACAACTTTAGGACATGAATAACTTTATTAATCGGAGCCGGATGTTGTTTATTGTACAATACAACACTGCAGGGAGAATAAACCATGAGGGGCACAACCTCGAGTGGTTTGTTCTCCCACCGGTGTTTTATTGTACAATAAATAACGACCATCAGTCGTTATTTCTTATGTGAGATATCAACATTATGTACAGCCTCTTTGAGGATGATGATAAACTGTACACACTTTAAAAATATTAAGATTTTAATAATGACTCCCTCAATAGAATCTGACCTCAGCAATATCGGACAAGCCTATTTTAAGCACAGGTGGGTATTTCCCGTATAATCTCACACTCTTCACACTGATTACCTGTACCCTTTCTCCCAATACCGATTGTCATCGGCCATCACGTTTAGCTGCGTTGCCCAACTACATCTATAGGGATCAACTAACTTGACACTCCCCTCTCAAAAATAACATGGCCCAGTATAAAATGTCATCAAGTTGCGAGCGGGGGCACGGGTGGCCCAGTCGTCTAAGGCGCCGCAATTCACTGTGCAGAGTTGCGTCCCTTGGGCATGCCAGAAACCTATGATTTTGGGTTCGAATCCCGTTTCGCCCCGATTATGTTACTAGGTTTGTCAGCACCATACCCGTGCTCGTGGGTTTCACCGAAGTGGTAAACGTCTGAGACCTGCATCACTTCGGGCTTTCCTCCCACATCTAGCTGACACGCCGTGATGTAACTGGAATACTGTTAAAAGCGGTGTTAAATCCAACTCACTCACTCACTCAAGTTGCGAGCACACTTTCGAATCTCATTAAATGACATCATGATATAACTATGTGTTATTATGAAGTAAACCACACTTCTTTCTTCATTCTTTGCGATTTATCACATAGCAATCATATATTTTTCAAATTATCCTGCATTACTCCTTAATGCATCTACTGCTTGTTCTTTACAGGAAAAAGAGCTGTGTGAGGTGGTCTTGCTGAAGAAGTTGTTTCAACTAGCTGAGAGGACAATCCTATCACACAGCTCCCACATGACCACGGAAGTGATGACGTCACTGATCAGCACATTACTGCAGTCACTCACAGAAGCAAAACCTGTGTCGTCTGTCTTTCCGGTATCATCACCTGTAGACACTCAGGTATTGTAGGCAGCCCTGTTGTCTACCCCTTCAGTTGTCGTCTCTACCTGGGCACCGATGTTGACCACTACAATGTCAATCTACTCGTCTATGGCCACCACGATGACGACTGACGCGGCACCTATGGATCACTTCTCGCTGACCCAGCAGCCGACGGAGCAGTACTCCACAGTACCTATGCGGTCAACACTACAAGCGCCTCCGGGCTATGATCTACCAATCTTCCAACAGAAGTCTCAGCAGCAGACGCCCTATATTGACCCCCTGTGGCTCCACTACCTCCAGCTACTACAGCAGTCCTTGCTTCAGTTCCTGGCACCTTCATCACGGGGACTTCATGCAACGCCTCCTCTGAATAGGATGGCTGATCAGTCTACGGAAGTTGGGGGTCTCTTCAAAATAGACTGAGACCGTCTCTCTGTACCCAGCAGGGTCAGGGGGGACCGAATCCAACTCCATCCGCTCCCGGCACTCCACCAATCATGCACGCTGCGCCAGTGGCAAGCAATCTTTGGCCTCCTAACATCAGCGTAGAACTTGACCTCCAGAGGACGACTCCAACTGCTCCAATTCAGATGTTCCTGGCCCTTTACTTCAGATGCAAGGATTTGTCGGTACCCATCATCCTCCCAGACCACCTTATGCCTCATCTCTGGTGGTGGACAGAGCTTATGACCTTGTTACACCTATACATCGATACCACTCTTCAAAGATGGAGAGTGCATCTGGAAGGGGCTTTGGTCCGCCGCTCAACAGCATTGGCATATCAACAACCTCGAGAGGTGCTCATACTGGCTCTCCCTCACTGGAAGCAGGCCCACCAGCATGCACGGATCACCATCTCAACGGACAACATCACCGTCATCTGGTGTCTCTAGAACCAGTGAACGATTCACTCCCACTCTCTCCTTCAGCAAACGTTCCAGTTCCTCAACCTTGTCAATCAACTGGGGCTCCAAATCCGGGTCCAACACATCCCGGGTTGCCGCAACATTCTGGCAGACGCCCGGGAAAAAGTTGCTCCATCAGAGTGGAAGCTCCATCGGGATGCCTTCGCTCTTGTTTGTCTGCACCACTGTCGCCCTAACATAGACCTATTTGCCACCAGCCAGAACTACCAGATCCAGACCTTCATATCTCTGGTATCAGATCTGCAGGCTTGGGCAGTACACTTTTCTGACGCCTGTATTCCTTCCAAGTGTCATCCAAAATGATCAGTATGAAGCAGAGCCTCAATCTGACTTTGGTGGCATCCAGGTGGCCAGCGAGGGGCTGGTTCGTCGTCATAAGAGACATAGCCAATGGCGACCTTCCCCAACTCCCAGGCTAGCTGAATCTTCTGATTCATCCACACTGCAAACGACCACACCCTAAGTACAAGACAGGTTACATCTACACATCTGGTCCATCTTCAAAGAGCCCTAAGTACTAAGGGTTACTCGTCCAGAGCAGCGAAGACTATTACTTTGGCCCATTGACTGTCCAACAGGAACCTTAAGACATCAAGTGGCTTTCCTTCGAAAGTTTTTGCAAGAAATACATCAGGATCCCTCCTCAATTTCTGGCCAAGTTCCTGGTGTTCCTGAGTCACAAGCGTCGTTTGAAGGGTAGCACAATCACTACATACCTTGTGGCCCTCAACTCCATAAGATTGTAAAATGACGAAGGTTCCAGAACTCCAAGCTTTACTTTGCTCCTTCCGTTTGGAAGACCAGAAGGCTAAGTTCAGACCCCCGGCATAGGATCTGAATGCGCCCTTTGAACCACTCCATTCGGCGGGTCAGGTCAGGTTTCAACAGGGAGCGCTGTTCACCTCGGACTCTGCAGAGACTTTATCGCTAAGAACCAGCTCCCAGGACAACCCCACAGATCCTTCCTTATCCCGCCTCTATTGTTGTTAGAGGGAGCGTTGGACTAACAAGAACTCCTACTGAGAGTGCTGTGATGTTAAATCCGCTGATCCATGGTTCTCCATTACCAATGCCACCATCTCTTCGTTCCAGTATCAGCGACCTCACAAGCAGAAGTCAGCCGCAATACCACCTCCCTCTGGCGTAAAGCCATCATTCTCCAGGCCTCTGCGGGACTGGATCCTTCGAGAGCCAGCAACCCAACATGAGATCCTGGCAGTCGCCTCCACCATGGCACTTCACGGCAACTGCTCCATACACGCCATTATGGAAGGCTGTTTCTGGCGATCTGACACTGTGTTCACCAGTCACTACCTGCGAGATGTTGCCTTAGAAGACGTGCAAGGAATGCGCAGTTGTTGCCCAACAGAAGGCTACATGTTGCTTACATTTCGGCTCAGTACGTCAATTGATTTTAATCTCATTTAACTTCTATGATTGTATCCATACCTGGATATCCGGCATACCTACTCTCTCCTTCCTTGTCAACAGAAATGGTAGATCAATGCCGAGCTTTGCCTTCGCTGATTTGCTGAGGGATCTTGGAGTGTTTTAGATGGAAGATCACATCTGAAGGTATGCCCTCCAACGTTTCCATTGGATACAGATGCATTAAGGAGTAATGCAGAATAAGTAAAAAAATCTAGTACAATCCTAGATATTTTTTATATTTGTATACTTATCCTGCATAACTGCATCTAAAGGGACCCACCCACCCACCCATCGCAGAGCTGCCTCCCCATGATGCATTCAGATGTTTTCCCTGTTTTTAGCAGTAATGTGCTGATCCGTGACGTCATCACTTCCTTGGTCACGTGGGAGTTGTGTGGTAGGGTTGTCCTCTCAGCTAGTTGAAACAACTTCTTCTTCAGCAAGACCTCACACAGCTTTTCTTTCTGTTGAGAACAAGCTGTAGCTGCATTAAGGAGTATTGCAGGATAAGTATACAAATATGAAAAATATCTTGGAGTTTACTAGTTACAGATTGAATGCAGGCATTCATAAACACAACTGCAGTGCATAATACACAATGGGGTTACTTCTCACTTATTGTAACTGAGACATGTGTCACTGTTGTGAGCTAGGAGGCACGGGTGGCCCAGTCGTCTCAGGCGCCGCGATTCGCTGTGTAGAGTTGCGTCCCTTGGGCACGCCAGAAACCTATGATTGTGGGTTCGAATCCCGGTTTGCCCCGATTATGTTTCTAGGGTTGTCAGCACCATACCCGTGCTCGTGGGTTTCACCGAAGTGGTAAACGTCTGTGGCCTGCATCACTTCGGGCTTTCCTCCCACATTAAGCTGACACACCGCGATATAACTGGAATACTGTTAAAAGCGGTGTTAAACCCAACTCACTCACTCACTCACTGTTGTGAGCTTATGTGCCTGGTGACACTCCATGCAATTCAGGCGACACTTTTGGGGCAGCACATGAACATTAGAAGTTACCTGAAACAACATAATATGTCTCTTCTTTGGTTTAAAAATACCCAATTGACTGGACTCAAGGGAGAAAAAATATATTGTAGACCCAAAGATTGAGGGGATGAACTTGTTGTCATGGGTTTGAATGCCAGATTAAGCTGATAATGAGCCTTCTTAGTATTACCAGCATGGTTTGGCAAATCTCTATGCCAAGCATCACTTTAGGCTGTCTACATTCATGATAACAAGACTTATGTACAACTTATTGTTCAATGCAGGGTTAAGCCTCACTTCACTAATCACATATACAGTGCAGTATTTTGATATCCTGTTTTTCTGTGTGGAGATGTTCCCTATGGCAGCTGTGTGTGGCAACACGTCTATCGTGAAGCCGTCGGAGCGGGACCCAGGAGCCACCATGATGCTGGTGGAGCTTGCAAAGGAGGCTGGGATGCCACCTGGTGTCATCAACGTCATCCACGGCAGACATGACTGTGAGCACTCGCCCCAAATACATCCCCAGTACCTCATGCTTGTCTCCCTAATATGTCAGAATATGTCCTCTATACCTTAGGCTTATACTTATCGCCCTATTGACATCAGAATAGATTCCCAGTACCCCATGCTTGTTTCCTATTGACATCAGAATAGATTGCCAGTACCCCATGCTTGTCTCCTATTGACATCAGAATAGATTGCCAGTACCCCATGCTTGTTTCCTTTTGACATCAGAATAGATTGCCAGTACTCCATTCTTGTCTCCTATTGACATCAGAATAGATTGCCAGTACCCCATGCTTGTTTCCTTTTGACATCAGAATAGATTGCCAGTACTCCATTCTTGTCTCCTATTGACATCAGAATAGATTGCAAGTACTCCATGCTTGTTTCCTTTTGACATCAGAATAGATTGCCAGTACTCCATTCTTGTCTCCTATTGACATCAGAATAGATTGCCAGTACTCCATTCTTGTCTCCTGTTGACATCAGAATAGATTGCCAGTACCCCATGCTTGTTTCCTTTTGACATCAGAATAGATTGCCAGTACTCCATTCTTGTCTCCTTTTGACATCAGAATAGATTGCCAGTACTCCATTCTTGTCTCCTTTTGACATCAGAATAGATTGCCAGTACTCCATTCTTGTCTCCTTTTGACATCAGAATAGATTGCCAGTACCCCATGCTTGTCTCCTATTGACATCAGAATAGATTGCCAGTACTCCATTCTTGTCTCCTATTGACATCAGAATAGATTGCCAGTACTCCATTCTTGTCTCCTTTTGACATCAGAATAGATTGCCAGTACTCCATTCTTGTCTCCTTTTGACATCAGAATTGGTTGCCAGTACCCCATTCTTGTCTCCTATTGACATCAGAATAGATTGCCAGTACTCCATTCTTGTCTCCTTTTGACATCAGAATTGGTTGCCAGTACTCCATTCTTGTCTCCTATTGACATCAGAATAGATTGCCAGTACTCCATTCTTGTCTCCTTTTGACATCAGAATTGGTTGCCAGTACCCCATGCTTGTCTCCTATTGACATCAGAATTGGTTGCCAGTACCCCATTCTTGTCTCCTTTTGACATCAGAATTGGTTGCCAGTACCCCATGCTTGTCTCCTTCTTTTTGAAAGAGTGAAGAGATATTGCAGGACATGAATTTGTTTAGTTCCATGGTAACAAGGCTCACAGGCAGACACTGCATACCAGAATTACATTAGTGCTGGTTCAAATCCAAATTCCCTCTGATATAATTCTAGGTTTGTCACAACCATACCTTTGTTCGTGGGTTTCACCAAAGTGAAAAGTAGCAAAGTCCTGCCATCCTGTGAAACGAAATATGAAATAGTTTGGCCCTGTCTCCTGATCACTACTTGTCCCCCATGATGTACAGTTGACACACTTGTCAGGTACATACAAGCCTACAGTGCTTCATCTTGTTTCAGCGGTGAACTTCATCTGTGACCATCCCGACATCAAGGCTATCTCATTTGTGGGATCCGACCAAGCAGTAAGTGAATGTTAAAGGAAAACAGGCACTGCACCCACTCTGTCAGATACCTTCTGGCCAACTTTAGGATGTGTATCCCCTTAATGGCTTTACCAGATGCTTTTCATCCTATACACATTCAAATTGAGAATTGATGCAAATAGATTACAGTGCAGGACACTATGGCAACTTGACCACTATAAATCTGGGAATTCTCTTTCAGATTAAATCCTCCTTGGGGCACTTATTGCATTTTCCTTGCTCAAGAAAATCTACATGACATAGTTGTAACCATTTTTCCTTAATAAATAATGTTACCACACAAAAAACTTTGTTTTTTTCTGATATAAGACCACCTTTACAGTGCCTCACCCTCAACGGCGCCCCGCGCAAAGGGGAGTAACTCTCACCCAAATCACTTTCCTTATGTCATTCGACTGCACAAGACGTCTGATTTTTCAAGAAAGTTTTCAAAAAGAACCTAATCGTTCACTGAGAAGACCATGACTGACCAAACTGTATGTATGGTACATTTCTTTCCTTGCAAATGCGTAATACCTCGCATTGTAAAGTTATAGAGTTGTAATTCTACGCCACGTGCACGGTACATTTGAATTCAAATGGCCCCCATGTCTTCCATTGTGTAGTTCCACTGTCTGACACATGTAACACCAAGACCATCAAAACGGCTTGTTTTTTTGTTATATCATACAGAATTGAACTACAGGTTTTCCTTTACATAAACCCAAGGTGGTCTGCTAGATTATAACGACACTTACCTTTTTTACGGGTTTTACACCTTAGCACGTAACACGCCCCTTTGGTGTTATAATTATACTACGGACATTGGCTATTAGTATCGCGTTACAAATCGCATTCTACATTACGCCTTTGCTTCTGTTTTCACAATTTTGCATGTATCTTTCCGATCTTTATATCGCACTGATACACTTTTTTCCCACCACCCCGCCCAACTTAGAATTTACGGTCTTTTTTACAGACATTCAAACTTTGTTCGGGATGCGGGTCTAATATTCCGTCCCAGGACCAGCACCCTAGCTGCCTGAAGTGTTTGGCAGAAGAGGGGCATGACGATCAGTCATGCTCCATCTGTCAAGAGTTTACCCCCAGGACATTAAAGCGTCGGCACACCGATCTGATCCACTTTAAGGGTTTACTTGAGGCGGGGGTTGACATTCGCTCTAATAAGGCAATTCCCCTCCCCCCCCCCCCTAAATCAACGCCTTCTGCTACTGTCTCCTCCGCCCCTTCTCCGAGGGCTCGAGGGTCCCCGAGGCACCTGCACCCTCTCCTGCACCCTATTTGGCAGATATTTCTCCTCTACTAAAGTCACAGATGGCATCGATGATGGAGGAGGTTAAGTCCCAACTCCTAGAGGAGCTGCGGGCTGGGCCTTCCCCGTTGTCGGCGCCGGACATGGCCTCGAGGCCCTGTGGAATGCCCGGCGTCAGCTGAGGCAGGCCACTTGGCCTCTGGGACGATCCGAGACCGGGCTTCGGCTCCGGCTTGAGGTCGATCCCCAGCGGAGGGGTGGTGGGCGGTGGCCCGTTCACTTCCTCCGCACCATTTTCCCTAGCTGAGCCAGACGCCTTCTCCAAGGCCGAGGCTTCCACTAGTGGATCTGTGGCCCAGAGCCAGGTGGGTTCCCTTGAACCCCCGGCACCTCGGGACCGGGACTCGGCTTCGGGCCGGGGGCAGCCCGGGGATGCGAAGGCCCAGGCCTTCGGGCGTCCTCTTCCTGTCTCGAGGATGAGTTGATTACGGTCGACTCTGAATCGAGAGAGGAGGAGTGGATGGAGGAGGGAGGGGATGACTCGGAGGCTTCGGGGACATTCTCCTTTGTATCCTCGTTGAGGCACTTACGGGACAAGATCGTCCAGGCACTGCCTCAGGTGGCTGCGCCCATGCCCGCGTCAGATCCGACTGAGTTCCGCCTTCCGGGGGACGCCTTCGCTCCTAGCAAGGGCACCAGGTGCGGTTCCGCATTTTGTCCTCCTTGGCGCACGAGGTCATCGATCCTCTGCTTTCGGGTGCCGACAGGAAGTTCGACCTGGCCGAACTTATTAAGCGGTACCCGTTAGCAGAGGATTGTGATTTCGAGGTTCCAGTGGTCGACGAATGCGTATGGACTTCTGTCACCCTGGGGGGGGTCTTCGAGCCCCACCTTGGCAAAGGCCAAGCAGGACCGGCGGTTGCCCCTCTTTCCCATGTGCGGTGCAGAGCTGAAGGCTGCTTACGTTTGCTTCGAGGAGCAATACTGTAATGCATGCCAACAGCTTCTCGTCTCCATACACTCCGCCTATCTGTCTGCAGTACAGAGGGAGCTGGTGGGGGAGGGGCCGGCTGCGCAACTGATGGAAGTCCATAGCCATCTCGCGCGGGACGCTATTCGTAGCTGTGGTTCGCAGATGATGTGCGCTGTCATGGGCATGCACAGGCTGTGGATGTCGGTGTCTTAGTACTCGGCATCCACCCGCCTGGACCTCCTAGCTTTGCCTTATAAGATGGGTGCCACCCTCTTCCCTGGGGCTCAGCAGGTGGTCCGAGAGGCCGCTCAGTTGTACGCTTCAATCAAGGACTCTAAGGCCTTGTTGGAGGTACCTAGTGCTAAGCGGCGTAAGCGGACCTCTCCCCTTGACTCTTCCCACACTGACACGCCGGGTCAGAAGTCTGCAGCCGCTTCCTTCAGGTAAAGGCGCAGGGAGAGGCAATGGCCGGGGCAAGGTGGCTGGTCGAGGCCAGCAGCCTTTTCGCGGGGCGGGAACCCACGGGGTTCCCATTAGCGCCCGAAAGAGCCCCGGGTGGACCCACAGTCACCAGTTCTCGAACTGCAGACAGCCGGGACCCACTGCCTCAAACCGGATGTCCCCGTATGCGGCCGACTGGCTCTATTCCTGAAGGAATGGGAGACAGTTACATCCAATCCCTGGACCCTGTCCACTATCAGGGATGGCCATTTGCCTCGTTGGAAAACACCATCCACCCCCATTCTCCGGGATAAAGCACACTCCCGTGCCTGCTACCTGAGAGAAGGCGGAGTTGTTTCGTACCGAGGTCGACGCACTTCTTATGAAAGCTGCGATCGAACCTCTTCCCAAGGGACAGGAAAATGAGGGCTTCTACTCGACGTATTTCCTAGTCACCAAAAAAGACGGAGGGTTCAGACCTATTCTCAATCTGAGAAGGCTGGACAAGCTCATAGAGGTACCGTCCTTCAGGATGAGACACTGCGCTCAGTGATCTCAGCTGTCGAGACAGGAGAGGGGCTAACGTCAATAGACCTAAAAGACGCCTATCTCCATGTACCCATACACCCCGAGTTCAAGAAATTCCCTGAGGTTTTCTTTCGACGGGAGGTGTTATCAGTTCAGGGTTCTACCATTCAGGATCTCCACGGCCCCGAGGGTGTTCACCAAGCTGATGTTGATTCCTGCCCAAGTGACCAGGTCAAAAGGGCGGTTCTGCCATCCGTACCTCGACGACTGGTTACTAAGGGCTCTATCGCAATCCCTGAGTAAGATAGCTACACAAGAAGTGATAGACATTCTGATCACTCTAGGGTGGATAGTCAATCTCAAGAAGTCAGATCTGAGCCCTACTCAGAATCTTGTCTTCCAAGGGGCGAACTTCAACACAGTGAGCGGACTGGTATCTCTATCACAAGATCGCATAGTCAAGGTCAGAAGTGTTACTTCCCAGTTCCTTCTATCCATAAGACACACTGCTCGTACATGGCTCCAGTTACTGGGCAACATGGCGGCGACAGTGGATGTGGTTTGGCGGGCGCGCTTGAGAATGAGACCCATTCAACAAGCGCTCCGTCGACTTTGGGTGAACTCGAAAGATCTCGAGACTCCGCAGTGGCTCATTACACACCTTCAGTGGTGGACTGAGGTCGGGAATCTGTCCCGGGGGCTCCCCCTCGACACTCCCATTCCATCTCTCACAGTTCAAACAGACGCGTCACTCTCCGCCTGGGGAGGCGTTCTGAACAATCACACTGCCTCGGGACTATGGTCCCAGCAGGAGATCAAACTGCATATCAATGTGCTAGAACTGAGAGCGGTCAGGTTGGTGTTCCAACGCTTCCTGGATCTGCTTCATGGCCAAGTGGTTCGTCTAGAGATGGACAACCAAACGGTGATGTCTTACATCCGGAAGCAGGGGGGAAAGGTGTCTCCGTCACTTCTCCAAGAGGCGTGGCAGTTCCTCCTATGGTGCGACACTCACGATATCAGGGTGATACCTGTTTATCTCCCAGGGATGGACAACGTCCGTGCAGACGCTCTTTCTTGCCGGATCCTCGCTCCTTACGAGTGGAGGCTCGACCCAGGGATATTTGGGATTATCTCCTGGTTATACAGGTCGTTCCAGGTGGATCTTTTTGCGTCATGCAATGTCAGCCGATCCCGAACTAACTGTCTTCCACCGGGACAGAGTCAGTATTCGTTTAGAGCAGTGGCTACGTCACAAGCGTACGCCGCAGCTCTGCCCATTGAGGAGATCTGCTCCGCAGCTATTTGGAGCCAGCCGAGCACGTTCATCAAACATTACCAAATCGACAAACACTCAATCGAGCGTGCTCAGTTTGGTCAGTCAGTTCTCCGAACTGGGCAAAGTTCTACATCTCTAGCCGATTGAGCCGTTGAGATTTTAGACAGTCCTCCGGTTATACTGCTCAGTAATGGTCCGGATTTTATCTTCTGTGGTCAATAAATATCAGTCCTTACTGCTCGATAATTACTCGTATCTGCACACGCACTCCTTCGATCCTCGGGGAAAGTCTGGCCTAGCTTTGCACAGGTTATGTCTCTCGTGATCTTCGCCCCTATCTCACTTGTTCAAAAATAGCGGTGGGGGGGTTTCGAGTTCTTGAATTATGATAAGCCACACATTACTGGCTATTTCATAGTATATGGTCGACCACGCCCTGTCTCTAGCCCCCGCCTCTCGACGGTGGTGCCTCACGATAAGGTTGGTTCATTTATTGAACTCTTTTT